AGGCAGACAGAGAGGTTGGCCTCCTGTTTGTACTCATTTCACACCAATGTACCTGAGTGTTGGCTTAAAGAACTGATCTTTCCAGAATTGTCTTACAGTCCTTTCTCTTCTGATGCCTTGGACAAGCATTTTGAATTGGGGGCTAGATGATATTTTTATGGAGGTATTGAAAAAACTTGAAAGCTTTCAATACCATTTCAGTAGTGTCTGTTTTTTACAGAATGACACGAAAAGGTGTTTTTTATCTATCTGCAGAGGGACTGCTCACAGTTATTTATATGAGAAAATAATGGTAACAAAGATCCTGGGGTGTTTTTTTTCTACTGAATGTTAACTTTGTAAAATAATGACCGCAAACCATGCAAAAAAATGTCACACACTATATATACACAGGCGTGCGCCCACACACATATATATATGTGTATGTACATACATGTATGTATATGGAAAAAGAAAATGCATACAGCTTGCAATGTCGGATTTCTTTGTGTTTGGGGGAGGTGGTTTTCTGTAAAATGCAGAGCTTTGTATAAACTTTTGGTTTTTTTCTAATAAAGTTGAAATGTACTGTTGTCTCTGTTCCTCTGAGAGGGCAAGGTACCATGGTGCTGGAAAAAGTACTATTCCTCCCTTTTGTTTCTTGGATAACAAAGTAGTGGAGGAAGGAGGCGTGGGAAGTAGAAGCCTCTTCCTTTTCTGAAGACTACCAGAGCTCTTCGTATGGGTTTGGTCTTGTGTGATCCAGAACCCAGGTCAGCCCGTGCTGCCAAGATTGCCTGCAGTGGGTTCACTTCCCCAGTAAGACATGGTCTGAGTTCTTTTTCACCTATGTGAGTATCTTTGAATGCTAATGAACTATATAAGGGCTAAGACAGCATGTGGTTAATGAGATCCGTAAAGTATTTGGCTCTACAAATTAGCATTTAATCTACTGTTAACAGTGATCACTCTCATTCACTGTAAGAATGGTAAATAGAGCGTGGATTAAAAAAAGCAGCATCACACTTTGTATTGCAAGCTTATTCTCATAGTCTGGGTTGTTTGTTCTAAACAAAATGTAATTTATAAGCAAGTGATCATGTCCATATGTCCATCTTGGTGTATCAGCAACTGTACTGTAACTTGTGAGAGGTGAGCTGAATGCAACTGATGTGAAAAAGAGCAGGTAACCAAATGGTAAAAGGAAGTGGGTATTTTCAATAGTAATATGTTTTCAGTGTTGCGCTTTAATTTGGGGTAAGTTATTATAAATGCAGTGTCTAATATACTTTATATTCAGTGATTGCTAATAGGCTAAGGTAGCTGTCGATAATCAATCATCATCTTTATTTTTTTTAGAAGATGGCACAGGAAAAAAGAAATTGGCTTCTTACTGAGAAACGGAGCACAGCTCAGAGGATGTAGTTCTCAACAGGGTTTTTTCACCCAAGTAGAACAGACTACAAAGGCTTTTTGGCTAAGGTATATTCTTAAATGTGTGGCTAACTTTAATGTCACATTTAAATTCTCAGGTCTGTACTTCTATTTTGGTCTGATGTATGAAGACAAAACATTTGATTTTCTTAATTGAATCTGGTCACTGAAAATGATTGTTATCCTTTATTGCTCTGAAAGATTCCTTGGCATTAAGCATTTTGCCTGTTTTTGTTGTTTTTTTTTTATCCTTGATAAAATGCCTGATCTTGAGCTTTCTTTTGACTTCTGGTCCTGCTTTTTGAGAAGGATATAAATTTTTGCTGGTTAAGGAGCAAAAACAGTAAGTGAAACTGTTCCTGCCAGTCAGGAAAGCTAAACTTTGCTGATCTGTCCTAAACTCATTTTAATCTTCAGACTATGCAACTTGTTTCTCCTATATTCAAAACTCTTTTCCTTTTTTTAATCTATGATCTTTTATTCCCATAGTGCTCCTGGGTCGCTCAAGGATTTTTTTCTCAAGCTCAAGAAATTACTGAGACCAAATTACACAGGTCACCTCCTTCAAATTCTGCCCTTCTGCTAATGACTAAATAGTGTGTTGCTCAGCTGTGGGCCATCTTCCACAATGGCTAAAGCAGCTGTTCTTCATATAATATATTCTTTTGTGAAAACATCTCTCTACAATTTGTGTAGTTCTTCAGTTCAAGAAGACATATTCTGGAGTGAAGATGCCAAGATCACTGGATGCGTCTACATACAGTGTTTGTCTGAGGCACCATCCCTAAAGATACTTGGAGCAAGAACTTTGAATCCTTACAGACAGAAGTATTCATTAGTTTGTCATCTTTTGAAGCCTGGCAATATAATTTTGTGGAGTTTCGGGGGGAAAAAGCAGCATTATGGTAAAAGTGCAGTTAGCTATGTGTTTACTTGAAGTAATTTCCTTGGTTTCAGTCTAGTCCTAGTTGTAATACTTGAAATCCAAGTATAGGCAAGGTCCAAGTTCAGCATGTCAAATGAAATGTAACATCTGCCTTAAGGATTTACAGGATAACCATTGCTTTTGAAATCTCGGTGTTCCCAGGTTTCTTGCTCATGTGCCAGACAAATAAATGGCAGCTGCTGAAGTGTACTGCTTTTGTATTTGTCCAGTTCGGTTGGGTTTTTCCTTGTGAAGCTATGGGGACAGGAACGTAAGGTCTGAGGTCTGTGCCCAAGTGGGGTGAGGAGGCTTTTACTTTCCTCCCATTTCCCCCTTTTTTTTTTTCCTCCTGTAATTGACTGAAAAGCAAATCCTTTTTGGCTGCTGAAAAGCCAAACTGTTGGAATGTGCAAGCAAATAGCAAAAAAGGTTTTGTTCCAAAGCAAATGGAATAAGACATTATTTTGAGTTGGATGTTGAGAGTAATTTGTAGATAATTGACAGACTTTCTCTGCCATTAGTGGGCATCATTTTTACACATGGTGAGATACCTTATACTGTTCACCACTGCTAAGGTATATAGTACTGGGAGTAGGCTGTGCTTAATGCAGTTGCATTTCCTGGCACAAGGTTTGATTTATGTAATACTTAAGACCATCAAGAATTTATGTCTCTGAAGCAAGCACTAATGTTTTACTAAGAATATATTTTGTTGGGCTCAGCTGTCATTAGTGGCTTCTGCCCACTGTCTGCAAAATGCTGTTCGTTTCACAACCAAAACATCAAATCAAGGAAGAAACCAAGTATCTTCTTCAGTTTTATTTCATACTAGAGTTTTTCAGTTGTTGTCTTTTGGTGGTTTGGGTTTTTTTTTTTTTTTGTTTGTTTGGTTTGGGGTTTTTTGAGAGGTTTTTTTGTTTGTTTGATTGTTTAATTAGACTTCGGTGGCTTCATGAATAATGACATCAGTGTCTTTTGCAGCCAAAATATACCATATGGTCAGGGAGCAAGTGACCAGGAAAAGATGAGGAAGGGATGGCAGCCAAAGCTGATTAGGCCACAAAACAAACTGAGTGGAAACAGAGGGGCCAGGTGAGAACAGACTAAGTCTTACTATCGAGGATGGGGTCACACCTTTGTTAAATTCAGTACTCTGGTTTTGGCGGTACTGATATTCCAAGTAAGGTGAAAGAATCTGTGGTGTATGTGGTTTATATGCACAGTGTTACCTACCAAGCAGAGACCATTTCTGTTCCTGCAGGTGCTTGTCATATTTTTTAAGGAAAAAAAAGGTGGCAGGGTAAATTAGTTGAGATGCTCAGAAGAAAAGGCAGCAGGCATAGATTTTGTCATATCTTACTTAGTCATGCAAAGCTGGGATGAAGAAGCTTTGTTCTTGAAGGTGAAGATGATGGCAAGAGCTTCAGTGTAGGTGTTGAGTGTTAATTGCTGTCTTTCCCTTTCTTCTAGCTGATGACTAGGAATCCACGAACGTTAAGCTTTGAAGCATGCGTCAGGATTTTAGGAGTAGCCTTGGGATACTGTATATAGCACAGGCTGTATGAGCCCAAGTTATGCCTTTGTGAGAACTCCCTGTGGGACTCTGAGCTGTTGTTGCAGAGCACAGTGCAACAGGTAGCATTGCGAAGGGTGACAGACCAGCATGTGAGGTTTGGTGGCATCTGGAGTACAACTTCCCTTCACTTGTATGGCTCTTTCATATTAATACTTAACGACTCCAGGTAAACCTCACCACATGTTAAATGACACAGGCCTCCTTGACGTCACCTTTTGTTCTGCTGCTGTTTATCTAATGTGTGTATGAGGATGATGCCCCATAAGCAAGCACTTGTTAGCCAACTCCAGAGCCCCTGTTCCACGCTCTTCAAAGCTGTCTTATCTGCACCGAGGTTGGAGAGCTCTTTGTTCAGGTCATGTGAGTATCTTGCTGCCTGTGGATTTCTTCTGGCCACAGCTGACCCTTAGAAGAGAGTTGGGGCCTTAGAGACTATATATGGAACGTGAATGTTTGTTTGATTCCCCCCCCCCAACCCACAGGCCACCTCTGCCAAACGCATGGGGGTCAATCCTTGCGGAGGTTCTGATGCAGGCTCAGATTGCAACCTTGCAATGCTCACATGAAACAGCACGGTAGCCATGCATGTCAAGGAGCTTTTCTGTAGATTATCTCAAAAACTTCTTCCATCCTGTGGATGGGTTTATCCCTAATAAAATGACATCTGTGAGCAAGAAGGCAGCACGTGGTGGGTCTGGCTGGAGTGCAACCTCAAGGCTGTGATCACATCTCGATATAGCCCTATGTTCGAAGTTCATCCTGTCAGTTTGAGAGCTACGCTGTCTGCTCTGGTAGCACTAGAGGGGGCCCTAGGACAGAGAAGAAAAAGGGAAAATAAAAAAGCCGGGGGGAAGAAGGGTTAAAAACAACCACCACTGCAAACCCGAAGATGGATGACCAGGACCTGTCTTTAAACTACTGAAATACTAAATTAGATCGCTAGTTTTGACCTCACTTACTTTTAAGGGCCTTCTGCTACTGTACCATATGTCCTTTTCATAATGTATAGTCTGGTTTTGGCCATGTTCCTGGCCATAGCAAAAAAACCCAAACCCCAAACTCACTGTTCCCATCCTACAATTAGCAGGAGCACAGCTCCACTATATACTTGCTTTTCACATGAAATCTGTTGCTACCATAATGGTGTTTTTCCTTTAATTTTTTTTTATTTCCCTATAAAAAGTCTCCTGGGTATTTTTCATTTTCTCAATATGCAGCAAATTATAATGGGGGAGAGAAAGAGCATATTTTGGCACTTAATCTTGTGTAAAAGGATCCAAATAATGCTTTCAGCTTTGTCAGTGTAAATCCTGATTAATTCAATCCTGGTCCATCACAGTGGCATATAGTTTGTACAAGCATTAGTGGGTCCAAGAATAGTGACCAAAATGTAACCCAGGGATCTGTAAAGTGTTTTGAGGTAGTTCTGTTAAAGTAAAATTCTACTTAGGGGCAAAAATGTATATAAAAACGATGGAAGAAGTGTATAGCTTTCAAGCTTGGAAAAAAAAACTTATATACAGTCTTTGTTATCCAGAGTACCCAGGAGAAAAGAACAAATACTGTAGTCATCTGACAGAAATGCACATGAAATGGGATGGGGAGATGGAGCTGAGGCTACAAACTGACTGCAGAATCACAAAACCGAAGTAATTTCCACTAAGGGGAAAAGTAAAATCACACTTTTGTCTGCATTTGAGATTTATCTGCGCAATTAAATGATCATGTACATAGCTCAGTACAAAAACATTAAATTATATAATCCCAGTGGGAGGAACACTTTACAGTCTCTCCGAGTATGTTGTCTTATTAAAGGAGCCTGCATATCTAACACCAAGTCAACATATGTGGTAAAAAGTAGGTTTTGCCCTCGGATCAGACATGGGTATCTCCCTCTCAGTTTTTTTCAACCAGTTTTTTTCTCTCCCTTCTCTTTCAGAGACCCTGCAAACGGCAGTGAATTCCAGTATAAATGGAATATAAACAAAGTTCATATATGGCATAAACATATGAGAATCACAGTGGGATGGTATTCATATAATTTTAGTTAGAGTGATGTTATTCTAACTACGAGTGAAAGGCATGTAGCAGACAAAGGTATTTTAGACTTAATGCTTCCTGTGTCAATGCTTAATTGTTCTGTATAACTACAGTTAGCTTAAGAACCTGTCCTACTTATTCACACTCTTACTCTCTGAGGTATTTGGCAGATAAATAGGGCTGTTGACAAGAAATAATAAGCGACTGAGTTTTATTTGCAAATATGCATTGCATGAACTATTATCTAATACAGCACTGAACACATATGGTTCAGTAATAATTAGAAAAGGATGTGATATGAGCAAAAAAGCTTTATGCTTTAGAAGTGTTCTTTGATTCCTTGTAATGTAAGACACACCAGAGATTTCATTTCCTTAAGTTACACACTAAAATGTATGGAGAGTAACATTTTATCTTCTAAATGCATGAGTATATATATAAAATTTCTTCAATATGATTGCAGTGATAATTTTCTTTTCCCCTTAAGAGATGGCATTAGATACATTCTCAAAGAATACCTTGTTAATTGAACCGCCATATAAAACCACCATCCTATATGAATGTCAAAAAGCAGTAGTTTTGAGTGTGGAAATTTGTCACTTAGGAATGTCTAGACTGTATATTAGATTTCCATTAAGTCAAAGTGGGTTAGAAAAAAAGGTTTTAGAAATTCATAGTGGAAATTATTGAGCTTAACATCAGTTTGCAGCACTACACTCTCAAGTAATCAGTGCAAGTTCCAACAAATAACAATGCTGCTGTGACTTTCCCAGTAGACAGCACTGCTGGAGATGCTTCCTACACTTAATAGGTAAATGGGTTTTCCTGGGAGCAAAACAAGGAGTCTGATGTTTTGTCTCCCAGTAAAGAGCATCAGTACAAGATGATTTTCAGCTTGGCTTCCTTGAACGTAACAGCTTGGGATTGCACATTGTAAACTACTGCTGCAAAAAGAAGTGCAGGAGTTTCCATTTGATAACCTGGGTTCGTTGATCCCCTTGCTTTGCTAGTGTAAAGAAGCCTTTGAATCTGCTTGTGCAGTTAGAAGTAGGCATTAGCATCTAGGCAGAGCTGTCAGTTCACGCTTTAGTTGTGAGAAGATAGACATAAGTCTTTGGAAGCTGAATAAGACGAGTGAATGTACAGGGGCATGCTTGCGTGCACCCTGATGCTTTTCATTGTCTCTAAAGTCAATCTTCAGATGAACTGAGTAAAGATTCTCCTACAATGGCAAGTTCTGCCAGGCCTGTACTTTTCTTTGGAAGTTTTTCGTTCCAAAGCAGGTTTTCTCCATGTGAGAAGGAAAATGAGAAAGCAGTGCAGCGTCAGAGTCGTTTTAACTCCTTGATGTCCTCCACTGCCTCCACCTCGGCCACAAAGATGCCCCTGTTCTGCTGGCGTGGCAGGTGCTGAGCCCTGGGCTGAGCACTGCAGCCCTTCATCTGCAGGAGCAGAACACTCCCCGCGCTGAGCTCCTTGGACATGTGTATTGGCAGCTGTTAAGGGGCAGACACAAGGTCCTTTAACAACTGCACATAATTCAGATGACTTCTCTGGAAATGCTAATGTATAAATGAACGAATTCACTTTTAGACAATTGATAATTCAATTAAAATGTAAGAGAGAGTAAATAGTATGTGCTTATATGCACGCCTTGCATTTGCTTTCTTAATAAGATGAACTTCTTGCCATTTCAGTGAAACTCAAATACTTACATTACCATTCTAATGCCTGGTTTGTGTGTATGGTCACATTTCAGTAATGACAAAGACAGCGCAGTGTAGCAACTGTCATGTTATCTAGTACTATGAAGACAAGTAGCTGTAAAGAATATGAAAATAGGGAAATATTATTCCCAAGTGCAGAGTGTGCTGGGGAAGAGGGAGACAGGAGAAGGATGGTGTTTCATCTAAAATACATGCCTGATTCAACAAGGTAACTAAATATAAATACAAAACACTGATTTCAGTGAAAATAGCAAAGGGCATCATCAGCTCTATTTCACCCTAGGTTTATACTGTATACAGTTTCTCTAGTGACCTAAAACCTTTCTTCAACTAAAATTTCCATTGAAATCATGTGCTTTAAAATAAATACATTTAACTTCCTGTGTACTCATAAACACAAAATTTCACAGTTAACCACTGAAAAATGCAAAAGGCCAAAGAAAGGTTGAAGTATCTCCACTGGTAAAAATTTCAGCCCAGATTAAATCTGTGGGAAACTGAGTCACTATGAAGAATAGGCTTGGGTAGGATAGGGTGTACAAATAAAATAACAATGTAATGCGAGGTTTTGACAACAAATCCATCAGAAGAAACAGGAAGAAACCATAGTTTTAAAGTCATGCTGTGTTAATTTGAGAGCAGTACTAAGGAAATCAAAATTCACCAGTTAACTCTCCCTGAAGTGATGATGGCTAGGACGTATAGATGAACTTTAGAGAGCAACTGCTGTTACCTACCTAAGTTCCAGGAAGGGAGATCATAAAATGAAGTTCTGTTTGGTGATACTCGCCTTAACGTGGGACAGGGCATTAGCAATACCATTTTCTTTAACACCTTTTCTTCCCCATCCTCAGTGGTTGGTACTGTTCCAGCAAGGAAATCCTGCTGGTTTGCAGAATAGTAGCAGCAGAACTCGTGATAGTTACTGAATATGATGGACTAGAAGCTGGTTCATTTTTGGTGACTTCTGTATCTGGGCTTTGTAAATATTCACTTCCCACACCTATTTCCTAATAACACCATTGATCTATTGGTCAAAAGAACTGAATTGTGCATCAGAGCTTTCCCACTACCTGGTAAGTTTTTTAATTACCCTTTATCTTCCATTTTCTGTTCCCATAAAATGGAAGCTACATGTCCAAGCTCCTACCCCACCCCAAATGGCCACTGAATTTGAAGCAAAGAGATTTTTATATATCTGAAATAGTTTATCATTTTACCTTCTGACTAATTTTAGTTAAAACCATGGATTTTTTCATTCTGAGTGAATGAATATTAATAGCCTCTCAGAACAGATTCCATAGTTGAGTTGAACAAGAGCAATACTGAAAGTCATCTGAGTTTTTGTCATGATGAATAACACAGAGATTCCCTTGAGCAGAATTCTGGAGAAGACTGACATCTCTTCTCAGTTAAGTGTAGAATATGCTTAGTTTTTTGGAGAATCCTTGGCTCTGATTTTTGAGAAACTGGGATAATTCAGTGCAGCAAAAATAAATCTTTTCTTTCTAATCAGGACTTACTTTTTCATTTTTTTCCTATTCCCTAGTTGAAATTTCCTGTGTTTTGTAACCATTTAACATTGTGTTACTAACCATCCATTATGTCCTGCTTTATTCTCTTTTAGATGAAAGAGCCATATAAAAAGAGAATTCACCAACCCCTATGACTGAATTTGAGCGATAATGTCAATGGAATTAACACATTGCCATTGTTGAATGGTCTCCTGTGGCTATATAAACATCAAGGTAACACATTTCCAAAGCAGAAGACATTACTACTGTGGTACTGCTGTTCTGTTGTTTTGAGAGTATTTCCTTACTGATGTAGATTTCCTACTGATGTAGAGCTGCCATTTTGCCTGGTGGAGGATGATGTTTGGAGAAAAAAAAAAAGAAAAAAGGTTGATTTTTGCTGAATTCTTATTTGCTAAAGAAAATCTATTACATTGTTTGGCTAAACATGGAATGAGAGCCCAAGTACACTAAGGTTTATTTAAGGTGGCCTCTTACTGGTAAATACATTTAAATGACAGCTCTCTTGAGGACCTAATTCCATTTCTGAAGAAGACCTTCTGGAAAAGCTGGGACAGAACTGCCTTCAGGAAACCCAGGGTTCTTCAGTCTGAGCAGAGTTAACTCAAGAATAATTGCCTCCCATACTAGCTTCAGCCATTAGCATAACTTTCATCTCTGAGTATAGAAATAGACTGAGGCTTAAATACCTTTGGTATGTTGCTGAGTAAAATGTTAGTAAGTGAGTTTCAGTTTCAACTTCGAGGCTGGCAGACAAATTGTGAGGCCAGGCTAGTCAGAAAACTTTTAACTGTCATAATTCCATTCTAGGCTCATTGTCACCGTCTCACCTAATGCAGGAGACAAGCAGCTGATGTGGATGTTGCATAGGAACCGTAATTTCTTGTGTCACAAAACCACTGACAATGGCTGCATTACAGAAGCCAGAGCTGGTCAGTTAGGGCATGCACGTAACAGTAATGATTTTGTATGTTATGAGTTTCCTGCTCCTGGTTGCAAATGGGAAAAGAACCTGTATTTCTGCAAGTATATTTTCATTTGTCCTCAGGCAAGAAAAAACTCAGGCAGTAAGTGCTTAACCAGAACAGAATCTGATGAGTTCCCTTCCTAAATACCCCATTATGTGAATTTTGCTTCTCTCCAATCACCTTTAATCAACTGGTCAGTGGGTTTGCTGCATTTCTATGACTCATACACCACAACACAAGTTTCGAAAGGTGGGAAGTCAATCTAAAGGTTGACCTCACCAGGCAAAGATGTATCCCTCTCCAGAATCCATTAGACATACCCACTGCCTCTACCAGACCTGGAACAAAAGGCAGTTTGCAGAGCTGAATTTGGCACTTCTGTGAACATTAGGGCTGAAACAAAAGAGAGGGAGGTATTATCCATCCCCAGAACAGCACTGGGTTGAATTCCTCAAAGAAGACTTTTCAGTACAGGGAATGTTCTGTTTCTGCACTGCTCTTGAGTGACAAGAGGTAGAAAAGAAAGTTGTGATGGAAGGAGGGAGGAGCTGCTTGTGACAGGAATTGTCAGAACGTGGAAGATGACTTGGTGAATCGTGAACACTGTGCATGAGTTAAACTAAGTGGACAGAGTTTGTGCACACTGTAGTTGTTTTCAGTCCCTTGAGAGCTGTTTGAAGCTCTCTGAAAGCAGAGAAGATAACAGCTACTAAACAACTACTAAACTTTGTGCTTTAGAATGCAAGAGAAATTGCCTTTCATCCATGGATCAATCTTTTGTCAGCCCATACACAGTGGCTGATGGCTCTAGTGTATTTTCATTGCCACTAAAAGGCTTTTCTTGGGAAGTGAAACCCAGTGGCTCAATAACTTGTCACCTTTCCCATGACTCTTGCCTAGGCCTAGAAGTGGGGAAGATGAACACTCTGCCAGGCTCAGCAACATTCAGGTTGCAGTCACACCTCCCTTGGGAGTCTTTTGTGAATTATGATGTGTAGAAATGCAGGATTTTATCTTTGTAGATCCTCAGCTGGGTACAAAAGCTGATGTCAAGGCGCCTGAGCCCAGCAAAAAGATACCAATGGCAAAAGCATGCACAACCTGTTACTTCTCTCCCCGCCCCCCTTTCACTGTGTCTTACCTTTCATTTTTTCCCTTCTTTCTTTCTACCCTCATTTTTACAGACACTTTTCCCACAGATACCCACTTCTTTTTTTAATCTTCTGGCAAGAACAGAGGATCTCCTGAACCAGTAAGAGACAGCTCTTCAGAAGAATGGGAGTTATGGAGCTCTAGGGTTCTTCAGGAAACCTGTCTGCAGATGGCCAAAACGGTCCCCAGCCTTGTGATGGCTGCAGTGTTGGCCAACAGCAGGGGACACCAGTGCCAGGTAGGAGAAAGTGGTCCATCTTCTGAGTCACCTAATATGCTCATAATTTTATCACTTCAGGCTGTAGTAAAGTAGCTGCATATATGCCATGAGATCTAAGCATCTAGCAGATAATCTTGTCGGGAAAGTCCAGCAGGATTGCCCTAATTTATTTCCTGTTATTAGACACTAGCTCTCCATCATGAAGATGCTGAACAAAAGGCAGGCCTAACCACTACTAAGGGTTGTTGAGTTTCAAATTTGAGCATGAAAGATTCTTTCTTTTCACGTTTCACTTGATTTCCACTCTGACTCCTTTCGGGATGATCAGTGTTTCAGCTCTGAAGCACACTTAAACTTGGACAGCTTTGAAATGCATTGATGCACAGGTTAAGCAAATAATCTCGGAGGAGCAGCAGAGCTACTGTTTCAAGAGAAAAATGAGGATGAACGGAGTGGGTAGAGGGGAAAACTGTGTGCTGTATTCATGTCCAGCATGTTCTGTTGGCAGTTGCACTTTTTTGCTTCTTGTGGAGCACTAGGAAAGTTCTAGTATCAACCCTGAAGTAACAATGCTCAATTCTGCTCTCTCCTGCTGTGCAGACACATTCCCTCCTTGCAGCTATAGCTTCAGGCCTGGACCTTTACTCTGCCTCCCCAGTGCTGATTAACATCCTGTCTTAGACAATGCCCACTACGATTGAGAAACTGTTGCGAAGGCTCATCCCCTTTTCCCCAGACACTTCATCTGGATTCTCCAGCTCTTAGGAGTCACTGAAGAGAGAAACAGTCTCCTTACAGAGAATTAAGATCACCGATAAAGCTCTGAAGCAGTATGATCATGTAAGAGAGGCCTGAACGTTTTCTTCTTGTTGAATCTGTGTTGAATGTGTACTGCTGTAATCCACAGTATATAAGTAAGCCCTGGTTACATTGCCCTGGAAAGCAATCTGTTCATATGCCAGTAGATCATACATTCTTCTTTGTGGTCCTAGAATTCATTTAGTATCTGTTTGAAGAATCATAGCAATAAGAGATAAGCAGGTATCTCAGAGCCTTCTTTGCTGCTCATGTGAAGGCAAGATTGTTCTCTGCAATACCACTGGTTTGTGCAAAAACCTTTTAAAAGTCTAATACAATAAGGGCTTTGCCTGTTAATTCTGTGAACAGTCTGCCCTTGCACAGCTGGTATAGTTTTTTCCTGGATTCTCAATTTGCTTCTATCTCATTTTCATCCCTGCTAATGAAGATAATTATATCCTTTTGTAGCATATTAATTCCTCTGTCATGTGTATGTTTACACCCTGCAGACATGTTCATTTCTTCTTTGTGCATGGAGCCATCAGTCAAGAAAGCTTTATTTAACAACTCTTCTAATCTTTTCTGATGTTCAGTTCATTCAGTCTCCCTCCAGTTCCCCAGTAGCTTTGATAATGAGGTGATAAGAATTACATGTAGTTTTACCAGTTTGTTTTATAGCAGACTAACAAAGAAGCCCTGCCACTTTCCTGCTTAACTATATGCTATTTTTCCATATGCATCCTGTGGTTATATTTGGCTGCTTTTGTTTCCTTGTTGAAAACAAAAGCACCATGCTTACTGCAGAAAACCATCTGAACTATCTCTATATTGTGCCCTCTTTAATATTACCATGTTTTTTTAGAGGTGGATATAGCTGAACATTACTGTTTTCAACAGAAAAGATTAAATTATTCTAATAGACCTAGAGGTAGTGGCAGGGAACCATAGAAGTCAGCAATTCCTCTCTTGAACAACTCCTTGGCAATAAGATGTGAGGGGAGCAAAAGGTTCCATCCTGGAGAGGAAATAAAAGACAAAGAAGTCAGAAAGACAGAATGGGGGACCGTGAATGGGTTTAGATTTCAGATTTTTGTCTCAGGTTTCTGATAATCTGAACCAGTCCTCTCAAAGGGCTGTCATAGCTTCTTTACCCTGTCCTGGAGAGCACAAGTGCTCTTTACATCTGGTAGGCTCCCTCTGGTCCATGAGCAGTTACTTGAAAATGAAGTACAACGCCAGCAACTTCTCTAAAGCCATAAGTGACTACAGGGATGCGAGCAGGTTTGATGCCATTGTCTGGTCCTCCTGACTGCTTGTGTTGTCTTTGGCCCCAGATAATTTTGCACTTGGTGCACAGATACCAAGCCGGGTTCCATGTGGTGCTGACCAGCATGGATGCCTACACCTTACCCTGGAGCACTGCAGCTGCCTTTACATTTCCAGAAGAGCTTTTTGTGGCCGTGACAGCTTATCACAATTCCAAGGTGACCTTATTAATCTCCTGTTTCTGTCACTCCATATGTTTTTCATTTTGCATGCAACAGAACATTTCTCAATGCAAAATGTTCATAAGCAAAGAGAGAGATGGGCGAAGTTTGGACTCTAACACCATTAAGTTAGAATGTGTACAGTTTAAGTTAGAATACTTATACAATTAGTGTAATTGATTATTTTTCCTACTTTAGACGTAATAAAACCCCCTAGAATTTTGCCACAGCTTTATCCAGTAGAAGCCTTTGGAACCTCTGACCATTGTAGTGGGATATTCCCCAGAGTACAGTGAGAATTCTCAACCTTTATTCTTTTGAGATTGCTTCAGGTTAGCTCTTGATCACCCAGAAATCATACGTCAGGAACATTGTGAAGAGGCAGGAAAATTAAATACTGAATTGTCCTGTCATAAGCAGTCCTTAACAAGTATATGTGAAATGTATCTAAAGACTTTCTTGATCTTATCTTGCTGCCTGTTTTCCTCTACTAATGAATTTTTAACCCAGTCTCCTGATTTCAGCCCAACTGGGCAAAAGTACTGAAGTCACACAGATGAGTTAAGTCCTATGGGTTTCTTTAAAATGCTGTCTGAGGGAATGCCTGCAATGTGAGTTAACATAATAGTAGACAACAGAGAATCCAAACAGGAAATCTCCTTTTTAAATGCCTTAATTGTGAGAAAAGCATCAGTGGGAGCTCAGGATGGGCCACAGGTGCATGTTGTAGTAAATGCACAAGTGTGAGGGTTCCTTGTGCCCTGTGATAATCTGGCTGGGTTAGTTTTTTACTTTCTGTTAAGAAACTGAGCAGCACCAAGCAGTGAAGCAAGATCGCAGTGAGGGGTGCTGTGAGCTCCCTGGTGGTGAGTCCAGGCCTGCATTGCAAGCAGACTTAACTCTCACTGAATCCTACCCCAGCAGTAGCTCTCTGCAGAAGCTTAAACCAGTAACTGCAGGATTAGAGGGTGACAAAAGCAGTGACTTCATTATTGATAACCATCGAAGACGTGCTCAGAAGGAATGCTTGCTCTAGGATGTGACTTGTATTTCCTCCTGCACACTCCCCTGCTCCCTTAGCAGAATTTAAATATCTCTGTTGAATTTACATTGTATTGTTGTTTGTATCTATGTTTGGTTGGCAGGCATAGGTTAGGTTGTGAAGTACCAGTCATTTAAAACAGTTTTGCCATCACAAAAGCAAAGACTGTGTTTTTAAGAAAGGTGCCTAATCTGTGAATGATCACTAGGTGAGAGAGGAGAAGAAATCAAAGTCTTTTGTGCCTAAGTAGATGAAATCCAGTATTTTAAGTATAATGCAGTCATTGCATACCTCTGTTGTCCTCAGTCCCTGTGGAACTGCCTGTATAACTGTTCAGATACCTCGAAACTGTGTCCTCCCTTCGTTTCTTAAGGAGTTGCAACCAATGTATTTAAATTATTCAAGTGCCTGATGTTCTTAACAACTTAGAAGCATTTGTCCACTATAGTAGGGCTAATTTTTAATTTATTTTTCTAAACACATCTATCCAAAATGATGGTAGGCTTTTATATTCACAGCAGGGAGCATTGTGAGGTTTAAATATCCCTTTAATCACTAAGGATGTAATAAAAACAAGAAGAGTTCTTTGAGCTGCAGAGTGTTACCCAGGGAAAAATCTACTCTAGAGCTTACAAATGTGGGCTGAAGAGACAAACTGGGCAATAAAATCCACAACTATGGACCAAACCGGCTAAAAGTTGGTCTGTAGCTGCCCATCAGGAGTTGAGACTTGGAGGGGGGAAAAGGCCATTCAGCACCTCTACAGCCATAAGAGCCAGGTCATAAACATTTCACTGGGTAGGGGGAGGGAGCCGTGGGTCTGTGATCCTGCCTGGAGCTTGTCCCCTGGCCTGTGACTGCAACAAAGAATGAGTATGAGTAATTTGCCTGCATAAGAAGAACGGGGAGGTAAAAAATCTGGGCAGATTAGGGATTACAGGGATCCTGCCTGGAGCTTGTCCCCTGGCCTGTGACTGCAACAAAGAATGAGTATGAGTAATTTGCCTACATAAGAAGAACGGGGAGGTAAAAAAATCTGGGCAGATTAGGGATTACAGGGAAAAGTAGTGGCTGTGATTGATGGTGTCAGTTCATGTACTTTCGCATATGAATATAAATGTCGATGTACTTCTGTATGGATGTTAAGGCAGAGCTATTTGCTGCCTGTTTTCTAAGGCTGGTCCTTTATGGCTCCTGATGGAGAACGGTGGGTTCTGGCAGGGTTGCTGTCTCCCCAGGTGCGGGGGGGAGAGAGCCTTCCCCATGCAGGAGGGGAAAGGCAGAGCTTTCTTACACGGTGCTGCTTGGTGGCCCTTTCCTGTGCTGTGTGGCTCTTGCTGCTGTAAAGTCCTTTCAGTATGTATTTTTTGTGGATTTGAGTGGGACGGTGCTGAGCCCTGTCTGGGAAACACAAAGAGCTGACAGGAAAACAGTGCACCTAACATCAGGAGTCTGTGAAGACTTGAAAGAGCTCTAGACAGACATATTTTGCATTTGACTCTGGACTGTAGCCTTTGAGGCCAAACTCAGTCTTTAGTGTTAAGTGGCTGCTAAGTGTTTCTCTTCTTGTCCTAATGCTAACTGACTGCTGGGAGAAGGGTGCATATTCCAGCAGGGCTGCAGGAGGGCGGATATGATAAACGGGAAGACAGAAGAGCGTCCTCTTTAGTTCAGGAGCACAGCTTTGTGACCAGATACTTCAATCCACAAGAGGAAAAGCCTTGTGTTAAACTCATAATGTACAACTTTTCATTTACATGAGCCACTTTCACACGTTCCCTTCCAGCGCAGACCCCTCACTGCCAAAATGCAGCCTCCTTGGAGTGGGCAGAGGCATGTGGCCAGTCCCAGCAGCACACTGTGCCTGGGTCCGGGGATCCTGTGGTGAATTAGCGTTGAGCTGCTACCAAGAGGCCCTCTCCAACCGTTTTGTTTTGCCAAATGTGATTTTTGCTTTTTGAGAGCACAGGGCAGGTTTGAGGGTGATACAGTTTGGGGCTCAGCATGGGGTTTTCATCCCTACTGAGGTCTGCCTTCTGCATGTTCCCAGGGCAGGAACATCTGCAGGGCAGTCAGTGCACATGGAACATGCCTGAAGACACCAGACAACTTTTCCCAGATTAAAAGCTATCAAAATCCAACCATAAAGAGAAGGGGAAAACGTGCCATTTCCCACCATCAGAAGAAAATGCTGTGTTGTGTGAGCTGCTGTAAGGAACTGGGTAAGAACTGTTCCTTATGCTATCACATGATGGGAAATTACATGTACTACTACTTCTTCAGAGGATCTCAAAACACTCTGTAGGCTTTTGTAATTTCTGTAGTCACCCATAGAGACTTACTCATAAAGCTGCTCAAATGCAGGCCGTGCCTACGCTGCCAGAGTTTAGCTGCTCTGTCCTGATCAACCCTGCTGGATTACAGGCTACTGCACCGTGTGCTGGTATACATGAGCAATAATCCAAGAACTGTTTCTTTCCAAAGACTGTTCTTGCATTTCAGCAGTCTCACAATAGCTTCATCCCTCACACCTGAGCTTGCTCTCAGACAGAATGTCCTGGAATTGTCCTGGAATTTCTGCTGGACAGAGATGGTGGGGCATCCTGCGCAGCCACTTGCAGACTCAGATCCTGAGCCTCCTGCAAGCTGACACGTTATCTGTTGTGGGTCTGAGAGCCCCAGACACCAGCTAGAGATGGTGAGATCATCACCCAGAGTTAGGAGGATATGTGCACAGACCAGTTCCCTGTAGGGTCCTGTTGAGTGTTAAGGGTTAAAGCTTCACTTAAGGTGAGAAAAGTGCCAGAAAACATTTGCCTTACTACAAAACCCAGAGGGGGATGTTTCTTTCCAATCACCTCCTCAAAGAGATGCAAAGCAAAACTTTGTGGCCTCTGCTTTTGTCATCACACATCCCGTCCCTTCTGCACTGCCCTACTTCATCCCCTTCAGCATAGGGGGAGAGCCTACAGTTAGAGCTAGGCACAGCAGGATTTTTACCTGCTGCTGTAAATGAGCTTGGAGCAGACCTGTGTATGTCACTGACTTACACATGTCAGATCCACTATGTCTCTCATCCCTTTCCACACCCTCAGCCTTGCCAGTGTATTGTTAGACACCGTCACATTCACCTCTGACTTCCCAGCAAACTGCCTGAGGGCACTCCATGGAGAGACCGACAAGGGGTAATGTGCTAAATTTCCCCTTTGCTAGTGATTAATTTCATGGGGATTGCTCCTGTTAGCCACGCTTTCCAGCAGTAGTAACAAATTCACTTTTTTTTTTGTCCCCACTTTTAAAACCTTTCCAGTGCAACTGGAATGGCTGGGAGAAAGCTAGTTGTTAACTGGTCATGGGTAATTAATGACTCCACCTTCCCCATCAATCAGCTGGGGAAAGCCAAAAGGATTTGAGTGCTTGTAGCAAATGTGTGTTCTCTAGACATGCTGATAGGCAGAGTGAAGCGGCAGCAGGAGACCATTTCATACCTTCTCCTGGAAGAAGCAGTATGTCATGATACACATCCCACACTCCTGTCAGGTGGAGAGTCTGAAATTGCCAGTGCTGCTGCTGTTGTGCAGTTTCTAACTGTGTGGGATGTTGATCCATCGCTGCTAGCGTGAATCTGACCCAGTTTTTGTTCTATTTTTTCTTCTCAGATTCTGATCATGGTTGTCTTTTTGACATTCTACAATTAAAATACTAGCATTAGAGAAGCAGGATATAGTGGGGGGCAGATTTGATGCTGGCTTTCCCTTTGTGACAGAGCAGAAAAGCATTTCTGCATCCTGTTTTGTTTTTGTTTGGTAGTAGCAGTGCAAGTGCAAGCAGAAGAGATTTGACCTTTGTACCGTGTTCATCTCACCTTTTCCTTTCCTATTTACATTTCCACAATGTAATAAATTATCTCCAGTTGAGCTATAAGCTGATGTTCTTCCAACACATTATAGTTATCTCCTCAGTGGTGCTGAGGCTCTTTGGCTCTGGATGACCCTAAGTTAGCTGAAAGAGAAGAGCCTGTGGTCTTCTGTATTACCCAGTAGTTTTAAAGGGATGTCAGGGAGGGTGGATGTGGTTCTTCAGAGGTGCCAGGAGCCGATGGACCATCTCCTGCTATAAAATCCTTCTCAGGACTTCTCAGAATCTCTAACCTATATTTCTTTTTACATGTTCTTCCTTGTCATCCTAAGCACTGGCTTTTCTCTCTCCGCTTGTACTGGGATGCCTGGAATTCAGCATACTACTGAAAGAGAGCCAGTCCCTCTTCTGATTGAACTCCTTTGTCCTCTTTGCATGTCCTTGTCCTTGCATTGCCTGCTCCAAAAGGCAGTAAAATCAGAATGAAAGGGATGTTGCTTGGGTATAGGATCCGACTAAATAAATTCAGAGTATGTTTTACATGTCACTGACAAAAAATGTTTATTGGAAGCAAAACTAGAGGGAATCAGCTGCAGCCTTACAGCAAGCTCCTAAATTTGCTGTGCAGCATCCAACACTGGCCCATTGAGACCGATATCCTGCTTTTGACTGCCAGCTTTTGAACATCATCGACCTGTAAATGTTAGTATAGCCATTTCTGTTTGTGAATGCATAGAACATGGTCTTAACCCAGGTGTAGTGGCTGTTTTGTGCCCCGAAGCAGGAGATTTGATTGCTGTCTCTTAGCACTTGTAAGCACTTATAAGTACAAAAGCTAATGGTCACACTTGCAGAATAAACTAATTAAGGGAAAACGTTCAAGTCCTTCAGTTTCTGCTCAGCCTTCCTTCAGTAAGAGCAATGCCTTGAACAAGTCCTAAAACCAGTGCCTGACCCACCGTGAGGCTTTTGAATCGTGCATTAGCCCTGAAAGGTGCCAGCCGGAGGAGTTGGGTGCCAGGAAAATGATACCCTAGGAGGGCTGAGCTGAAAAGTTACTGCATATAGAGCAGCCTCAGTCCTGAGCTTCCGAACAGATGTGATGCAGTGCCCTGCTGTAGAAAAACAGTGCAGTAGGAAAATTAACTGTGCACTCAGGGGCTATGAATGCAGAGATTGGGTAGGTAAGTAATGTTGTATCATCAGACGTGTTTGTGTTAGTAGAGAAGGCATCTGTTGGTGAGTGAATGCATTGCTGCAGCATCCCAGTTGTGAGAGCAAACTTTACCACAGACTTAATCACCCACTTGGGAAGGAACAAGCTCAATACAGTCCTGATTCTGATACCAGAAATCAAGAGTTATTCTGTGCTTTGCAATGAAATTTATATTAAATCCATGGAATAGCCAGAAGGAATTTTTTTCCTGCTTGCTGCTTAAGGGATTATTTTTTTTTTTTTTTTCATTTTGTAGGTAAGTCTTTAACTGATGGTTTTGGTCTTGTCTCTATTTGTTTAAAAGTGTGTTAGCAGTAAATCAAAGTGCATTTCCCCTATAGGGTTTCCTGTATGTCAAAGCCATGTTAATTCTCTTTGATTTTCTTCCCTTAGCCCCAGCCATTGCTGCAGATCCTTCCTCTCTTTGTCCCTTTGGACATCAAAGGATCGCAAGGGGACAGCCCTGGCCAGAAGCTCCTCCCTGCTCATTAGCCTCCATAAAACAGGAACTCACCTTGGCTAGCTGTGCTTGGAGTCCCATCCTCATCCTGGTCATTCTTGACACTGGATCTCAGAAGGAAGGGCTTTTGCTTGCTTCAGGAAATCAGACCTGCTTTTGAACTGGACTATTTTGGCATCCCTTGTAAGAACTTTGGTGGCTCTCCTGACCGTGCAAGCTCCTAGACGCCACAGTACATGGCAAAATGCAAGCTTTACCAGGTAAGTAAAGGACTCCCTCCTTTTCCTTATTATGTGGAAAGATCCTAGACTTATGCCGAGTGTGCACAGTCATTTTAGAAAGAGAACAAGTGCTCCTGAAGCATTACCAGCATTTATACTAGTGTGTGTATGGCTGGAGAGGATTTATAAAATGAGTGGTTTTGGTAGGAATGGGTGAGAAATTGTGGGTTTGAGTGTTATTTGTGAGCTTTGAAAGACCTTTCAGAAGGTAGTGAAGGTTTACTCACAGTTGTGCCCAAAACTCCGTTGTCTGTGTCACAGTGATTGTTCATGAAGGTTAGAGGTGTTATCTGTATGTTGTCTGCAAAGTACTTTGAGTTCCTTCAAGTTGAAGGCCACAGAAGGTTTGGAAATACTTGTTATAGTGCAAGTAATGTCCTGATACAAACTATTTGCTTTTTCTTTTGTTTTTTTTCTCTGCCCTTTGAAAGCAGGCATATCCCCCTCTGCCAGGTTCATGCCCAAACACAGGATTTTTATGATTTCCTTTGGGTTTTTCTTCATCAGTCCATTTCATGGACACCTCTTCTGTGTGTGGCATGATCAAACTGGGCACAGTGACAGATCGGCACTGAGAAACAACTATTTACCTAGATTGTATGCGTAAATTAGAGTTGGCTGGGTATTCTCAACTTAATTTCTATACCTCTGCAAGGTGTTGTTTCAGTCCTAAGCAAAATGAATCAGATAGTTTCCATCATTACTGTTGTTTTGGGTTTTTATAAGCAGTCCACACTGTGTTGATCTGACTCCTAATGATTCCTGCCACTTCAAAAGAATTTTGAGTTGAAAAGCAAATAAGCAACAATGAAAAATATAAACTGTATTATGGTATTTTACCATGTTAAAGGTTGCAACTATTGCAGAAGTCGCCTCATTTTCTTACTGAGTTGTTTCTGGTGTATGACCCCTTAAGGCAGAAATATTCAAGGTTATGACTAGGTGCGTTTGAGAGGTGAAACAGTTGTATTTGTAGAAGCAGCATACTTTGATTACTGCCAAAATGCTTTCTGAGAAATGAGGTTCCCTCCAGAGGGTTGGAGTGTCTCTATTTATAAGATGGGAGAACATGGGCTGTTTTTTGGTTGTTGGCAAATTAGTTTCTCAGGTAGCTTTATATACTGATGTGCATTTCTTCCTTGTGGACACTGCATAGCTGTCAGTGACTTCCTCCCTCAGAAGATAACAGCAACAAATGTAAATAATAACTGGTTTTAGTGAAGGTAAGCAGCATACCTTTTGCCTTGTTGGAGTTTTCCCACTATTGCAAACCCCAACCCATATAGTTTTGGTAGGCTGCAACGAATTTTCTGATATAATATTGTCCCAGTTATTGACAATTAATTGAGGGGCTGCTTTAGGTGAGTGCATTATACTCCAGCATCTCCTATCCAAAGATCTTATTTCCCCTGCAAGCATTACCAAATTGTCTCTCATTTCCTTTTCTCTTCACCTTCAAGATAGAAAGAGATATGCACAGCCTAGATGCAGAAGCTGAAGGACAAGCTGCTCATATTTGCATAAGACTTAAAATTAAGCATGGAAGAGATTAAAGATCACTTAATTTTCCGTGTCTTTGTTACAGCAGCAGTCTTCTTTTTCAACCTCATCTTAGCATAAGGAATATGTTTTAAAGTGTGCCACGTGCAGTGGCACCACAATTATGATAATGTAATGCTTTTAAAATAGATCTGAAATTCTTGCAAAATACTTAAATCTCTTTCAGATAGTACTTAAAAGCTGAGTTACAGAGAAGAGAAAACAATAAAAGTACAGCTTTAACAAGTTGGGTTCAGTGCTTGGACACCCTGCCACAAACCTTTCTACTGTAATTCCAACATACAGGCATCATTGTGGGGGAGATGTGGGTGTGAGTCTTACCATTAGTTACATAGGCACAAAGTAGGAGTGAATTAGAAGTGCCTTGCAAGCCAGCCTCTGGCTGTGCAAAGGAAATCCAGAGTGGATCTTCTGGCTGAAGCCAATTGCACATGAGTGTGTAGAAAGCTGTGTGGATCCATTAGCAAGCTCACACCACTGCTGGGGTCCAGATCCCATGCAAACTGTTAATGTCCTGTTTTTCAGCCTCAGACTGCACACAAAACCTGCAGGGCAAAAGACAATAACTATATTTTAGAATCTTTGTTGCAGTGTTTATTGTATGCACAGCTCTTTTTCCCTGTCTGCTGTAGTATTTCATTCATACAGGTGAATTGTGGATTCATTCTGGTAAAAAAACAGATTATAACATCTGACTTTTGATTTTTAATTTAGTATTGAACTCCTTTCACCTCAATTCCTCTTGATTCCATTGAAAGTCTCCCCTCAATAAGGACTCGTTTAATGGCATTGGAATTTGCCTACAAAAACTTAATGCTGAAATTAATTTGGGGAAGGAGTGAGCATCTGTCTAGCTAAGCAAAATCTGTTTGCATGTATCTGTGACTGGATGACTCCTGTGGGAAATCAGCCCAATTTTATTGTAACTCCTTTTGATACACGTGCTGCATTGAGCTACCGAATGCATCGTCTCATGGCAGCTTTCATGTCTTTGCAAGAGGATATGGGGGAAGCTTTAGTAAGAAGATGTTAACAAGCTAATCTTGGTGAGCAAACTAGGTGTCACTTCTTAGCCAGTTCATTAATGTTGGATCAAAGCAGAAAAAGGGTAGAGGATATATTTTTTTAAATGCCTAAAGACCTTTACAAACTGACAAAATTACATTTAAATGGGTTTGGGTTTTTTTTTAATTCTTAAATACTTTTTTTACTTCTGAAAGAACCCCTTAGACTCACACTGGGTTGTTTTTGTGGAAAGATACTGCTTCCTGCACAAAAGCTGATTTCTCTGGAAATAGTTGTCTACTTTTCATGCTTGTTCTTTTGAAGATGTTGCTCAGAAAAGCTGTAACGAGGTGAAAATTCCCTTATTTCTGGTATGTTCTGAATAAGGTCTCATCAGGGTGAGAGACAGAAAAGTGTCTCTCTTTTACACAAATAGCGGTGCATGGCTTTTAACACCTCACCCAGCGTAAGTGGCCTGCTGGCACTGCTGCTCTGAGTGTCCCTGTGTCCAGCAGGCTTATCAATACCTGGCTGGTACCGCAGGGCAGTGTTTGTGAAGCCCTGCTGGGTAAGAAATCAAGCCATCAGTAGCTATACCAGGTCATGTTTTCACCTAAAATTAAACTGTGGCAGCAGCAATCTTGTGTGTGTTACAATACAGTTAAGAATGCCTATAGGAGGTTTTAGATTCAAACAGCTTTACAGGGGTGGTAGGTGCCACCAGCACCAAAATGTTCCTCCAAAATAGTTTCCCTTCCTCTTTCCGAGGACCATAGTTAGTCCTCTGCCTGTAATAGAAAGTGCAGGCATACTGCAGGCAGCACCTCTGAAGTGCCGTGGTGTGTTACTGAAGAGGCACCTTCCACCACCGTCACAGGCTCCTCAGTGGTCTCCATCTCCAAGTCCAGCTCAGACTAGTCGTCCTCTTTTCAGAGTGTTCCATGGTCTGGCTCTGTCACCTCCCTCTCTCCTTGCCCTCACTTAGATTCGGGTCTCCTGTCTCTCCCTTCTTTGCCCTCTCGAGAGATTTTTCACCTCTGCTACCACCTACCTGTCATTTTCTTCCATTGCCCACTGGTACACTTAAAATCTTCAATCCTTTCATCATTCATTCTGTTCTCTTGGTAAAGTGTTTCATGTAGCCTTGATCAGGAATGCAAGTGGATTATGGCTGCCTGCCAGTGTGAGTTTTGGAACAAAGTAAGTCGGGTTGAGTTTGTGCAACACATAAATCTTTACAAGATAATTTACCTGCTAAACCCAAGCCTGCTGGAGAAGCCTTTTTGCCTTCTGAGCCTGCTAAATAACAAAAAGGCTTAGATAAAACATAATGGCTTTTCTGTAAGAGGTTTGTTGTGGTGCAGACTCTCTACTTCTTTGCAGCACCTGGACTCTTCATGGGTAAAATCATGGCATTCAGCTCCCTGAGCTGAACCAGTGTGGTGCACTGCACAGTAGTTTGGGGTTGAGATGTACTGTGGCCAGACAGAAGAGTGATGGACAGATGCACAGACCCCATCTTACAACAGTGTGTGAAATTCAGGGAGCTGGCACTGGGGGGTACTGGGAGAGCTGATGTGGGTGTTGTGTCTCAGGGCCCTGGCCCTGAGCAGAAGCTGTTTTGTGTCATCTCTCCTCCTGCCCATTGAAATTATTTCTCCCTCTCTTGGTAGACATGAAAGTGCCATGTGAGGCCCTTCCTTCCCCCAGCCTGGAGCACTACCCACAGAGCTCCATTACGGTCACCCTTGAGGACATGGATCTCTGGATGAAGTTTCATCAGATAGGAACTGAGATGATCATCACCAAATCGGGCAGGTGAGGGGAGCAGGACAGCTGTCCACACCACAGCTCTGCAGGCTGTTGTCAAAATCCCATGTTTTGAATGGTGGCCTTTTGACTAGTTTTGTAGCTAACTGCACATCTCCGTGCCCCTGACAGAGGAATTGTGCTTTCAAGGATGTCATAGAAGTCCAAACTGTGAAGTGCAAAAGGTCACTGTGTGGCTGATATGCTGAGAAAACTTCTGTACTCTTATCTCGCCACTTAACACTGTTCTTCCTGTCCCTAGGCGGTTGCTCAGGATGGTGCCCTGGGCTTCTTTTGCCTCAGTCACAGGCAGCAGGAGTTGGGCAGTAAATACCTGTGTTTGAGGCTGCATTTGCAGACAAGAACATGGTGTAGAATAGTAATGATCTGTGCGTGCAGACTCTTCTGAAATCCAAATGAATCATGCATTGTGGAGCTTGCAGTGAAAGAATATGAAGTTGTGAGATTGTAATGTAGTATGTCAAAGCTGCTGTGAGCTAAATTAATCCCTTTGGATAGGAAGGTAGGTGTCAAAGCTTTTTTGCAGAGTCAGAAGATGAAAGTGGTGGCAGGGAGTACTGGAACAGAAAACTAGATGTGCTCTTATGAGAGCACGTTTTCTACCCACGCTAGAAAATGCTCTAATCTATCCTCCAGGTCTGTGATAGCTGCTCGGAACTAGGTGCAAATTCCCAATGTTTTCTTTTAAGTTTCCCACTGTTGTGTTATAGGAATCAGAAGAACAAAAGCAGCAACAGTGTCAGGCCTTCAGTGACTGCTGCCCTGTTAGTGTCTGTTCTACCTAAACCCACAGGACTAGATAGAAAAATGTTCAGTAGGTGGCCTGTAGAATTATGGCTACCAGAACTTGGCACAGTAGTGAGTAAACATGACATGCTTCTTGATCATGAGACAGTAGCCACTTTATAGAGAAATCCTTATACTGTCCATTTCATTTCTCCTTCAGACGAATGTTTCCACAGTGCAAAATCAAAGTCTCTGGCTTAATCCCTTATGCCAAGTACCTCATGCTGGTAGATTTTGTTCCAATGGACAACTTCAGGTACAAGGTGAGTGCTTTAAATAATAGAATTTATGCTGTCCTTCCACCTTTGTTAGAAGTAGATTAATCTTTATGCTTCACTGGACAGGCCGATAAATAAATTGTCTTTGGACAAAGTGTAGAAGTAATTGGTGGATCTTATCCCTCTCTTGAGTTTATTTGTCAGTTTTGCTGGGGGAGCAGCTGGAAAGGTAACTGATTTTCACTGTAAGTGGTACAATATTAATCATGATTAATATCGGACTTCTCTGGCAGCTGCTGGGAGAAAGGGAGGAAGAATGAGGCCTAAAATGGGAGCTCTTTTGTTAACAGGATCATAGCTCTTAAGAGAATTTGCTACTTGTGCTTCAGGGGAGGCCACTAAATTGACAGTGAAGCAAAGTTGTAATGAAAATAGGTTTTTGTTTTAAGCTCTAGATTTCTGTGTTTCCCTTTACAGTGGAATAAAGATCAGTGGGAAGTTGCTGGAAAAGCAGAGCCCCAGCTCCCTTGTCGCACCTACGTCCACCCAGATTCCCCAGCTCCTGGCAGCCACTGGATGAAAGAACCTGTCTCCTTCCAAAAACTGAAGCTCACCAACAACACTCTGGATCAACATGGGCACGTAGGTTGTAGCTGGCCTTTGTGTTGTGCTGTCTTGGAATTCATTACAAATGAATGTTACAGGGCATAAGTGAGATTTGTGAGAAATTAGATCATGTGGAAATTTAAATATATTCAAGTGCCCTTGTGCCCTCTTAACTACCTGTTAGGTAAGGCTTTACTCTGTACTGTTTTACTGTGCTGTAAAGGCATGGTGGAGACACCAGTCACAGGCAGGCATCCCTGGTTTGAAATAAAGCCCCTACAGAAGACTTTGCACAGTGGGTTGGCAGTGGTTGCACATGGAAACTTTCTCCTATGTCTCCAGATCATCCTGCACTCCATGCACCGTTACAAGCCTCGCTTCCACATTGTGCAGGCAGATGACCTCTTCAGTGTCCGCTGGAGCATCTTCCAGGTCTTCAGCTTCCCTGAGACTGTCTTCACTTCTGTTACTGCCTACCAAAATGAGCAGGTACAGCGTGCAAGTACTGTTTTTGGACAAGTTGATAAATACTATCCTTAGAAGTCTTGTAGAGGGAGGTGTCTCTTTCCAAGCTTCTCACCCTGGGTGGCTATGATGGACAGTGGGAAGAAATAGGCACATTATGGTTCCTGTGGAAAACATCTATTCTGCGATGCGATGAATCATGCACCTTAATTAAGTATTGTGTGCTGTCAGTGATTAACAGAACCCTAAATGAAATAAAAAGTATGGGCAAAAGTCCACATACAGATACTGTCCCTATACATTTCTCTAGTCAGGTAAATCCCACTCAAATCCCTGCTGGCTCTGGCAAAAAGTAACTCATCTCTGTATGTCAGTTCCTAACAAATAATGGGAGCTGCTGGGAGAGCTCAGGTACTGTGGCAAGGGCCCTCAGACAAGCTCTTGTGATAGATAATGATGCGAAGGTCTTGAAACAGTAAATAACCCAACCAGTCACCATGAAACTGAATCTTGTTCCTTTTGTTTTAAGATTACAAAGCTCAAGATTGACAACAACCCATTTGCTAAAGGTTTCCGTGAGCATGGGAAGAACACGCGAAGGTAAACTGTTTTTTCATCTTTATAACTGAACTTCACTTGTGAATTTTACCCAAGACCATTGAGCAAACTAGACCACCCATCTCTGCAGAGCCTGCTGGGCTGTGCACACTGCACTTGCCTGTATCTGGGAATGATGTCCTCCTGTGCAGCATCCTCCCAGGAGACTTAGGGTGTGGGAGAAGATTTCCTACAGAAATGTGGGAGGTGTGACAAATGTGAGACCTGCATTCCCTTGCAAATTGGAGCTAGGCTGGAGTCTGACATGTGTATAGCAGTGATAACAGGAGTCCACAGCAAATCACTAAGTCTCTTTAAGATCAGCTTGATTCTGACATTTGGAAGTCCCTCATCTTTCTGTATGTGTGGAAAAGTGTCTCTTCCAACAGGAGCTTTTGTCTGCAAGAGGGAAAATGGGTACCAGTGTTAGTGAGATCTTCTGTCTGGTCTGAGAGCAGCCAGTGGATGAGATGAGAAAAAAAAGCTTAAATGTAACCATAGATTGGCAATAGAGAAGGAAAAAAATGGTTTTTTTCCAAGCAGAAAATGTTACAAAAATATCTTAGATTCTGTTTTGTATTACTTTATGCCTGAAAAATACCTCATTTCCTGATGAAAAAGGCCAAAACTGAGTCTTTTTTACTTAAATTTTGAAAATGTCATGGAGTTTTTTTCCTCCTGTATTAGGATCATTTCTGACTAAGCTTAGACTCGTTTTACAGTTAGGAAAAAGCTGCTTTCAAGCAGAAGACCCACCCTACTTTACTTGTACCTATGTGCATAGCATGTATATCCAGCATCGGACTTTACTTCCAAACAGTGCCAAAACCTCTGGTGCTGAGTTTCCATGTTGATTGTGCCTTTTGTACAAACATGGAGCAGGGAGCTCCTTCACCAATGTATCCCCAGAACTCTGCAGGGTGAGGGCTCTCACACACAGATGGCAGGCAGTATGGCTAACCCTATAATTCCACTGTGGTAAGTGTATTCCCCATGGGCCTGTCAGGGTGCTTTGCTAGGAGAGGTGTAACACACACTCAGAGAGATTCATCCCATTTTTGTCTTCCAGGGCTTGTACAGCATCCCTCACGTATTTGTCTAGGCAAACAGCTTACATACAAACTACCCCCATGTCTTGTTTCTTTCCAGGGAAGGACGAGCCAAATGCCAGAAGCCTAGTCCAGCCAAGGGCCAGAAGAGGAAGCTACCTGAGGAAAAGGAGTCTGGTGCAGAGGAACGTGGTAATATTGATCACAACAAACCCAGAGAATGATTTCCAGCAGTGCCTGGGCAGCAGAAAGGAAAAGAAACAGCAACATAGCCCCCTCTGTGGGGAAAGTGGCCTATGTGGAGTCCCTAAAGAGTGCTGTGTATGGCTTTGAGCCTCTGACTCTGGGTCTGGGGCTGATCCACAGGAGACTCCTGACAAGTCACTTGTCATTACTGACACCTCGTCAGCTCTCTCACCAGCCTGCCAGCCTGGCTGTGCTTTGTGACCATGCATGATAGTAGGCTGTGCTTTCATAATGTTTCAATAGTGACATGAGATTGCAGTATCACCCATTGCTTTCTTGGTTCTCCCCAGTGTGCCAGCAGTTTTTGTGTTTGTGCAGTGTTTGTGCAGCTGGGTTGGGATGCAGATGTGAGAACTGATACTGTTAAAAAAACAAAAAAACCCAAACCCAAAACCAGCCAAAACAAAAACCAAAAAACCAACAAACCCCAACTTAGACTGTTTGTTAGTTTGCTTTTAGGCTTGATCGTTTCTTGCTCTAGTTCACAGTGCTGCTAGCAGTAGCATAACCAAGGAGAGAGGACAGGGCAGGACTGAATGCAGTGTAAGGAAAGAAGGAAGCTGGAAAGTTCTAAGACAGTCACTTTAAGACAGTATGCCTGCAGAAGAGGCATTAGTGCATTTTCTTTCACCATCCTGCCATCAGTGCAGCTGCCAATAAACCACTGTGAGCTCTGGCTTTCTCTTCCCCCCTTCTCATTTTTTTCCCCATTCTTTCTTTTCCCTGCTGTGAGTCAGATTTTGAGAAAGATGAGAATGTGGATGTGAAGGAAGAGAGTAACCCTGTGGTGGTCAGCAGTGGATACCCCTTCTGGGTCTCAGAGCAGAACAGCAGCCAGGCCTTTCCTGCAGCATCCCCCGGGCCCGCTGACCAGAGGGAGGGTCTGGCCAGAGAGCAGCAAGTGCCTACGCCATCCTACCAAACATATCGGTGAGTCCCACCTCCTGGTGCTCATGTCCAAAGCCTCACTTCAACTGATGGGATTCCTCCTTTTCTACTGAGTATTCCCTAAGAAAAACAGCCAGTGGGAGTAGGGAAGGATGTCTTTCTGTTGGGCAGCATACCTGGGTGATAGGTGCTAAATTAGCATGGAGATAGCTCCACAACAAAGCCTTTCTGTGTTCCTTCAAACCCACTGATTCTGGGCATACTCATGTCTTTGTAACGCATTTTATTTCCTTGTCCTGAAATGCTCTCCCAGCCAGCTCTGTACTGCAGAGCTTGCCTGTCCTTTGGAGGAAGTGTGTTGGAGGAGTGGCAGGGCTCCAATGATTTTTCCCTCCTCCTTATCATTGCAAATTCAGGCATGAGTTATAGTGAGCCCAGACTAGAACTGAGCCAGAACTCACCTACTCTGGGCTTACCTCCTCTGGCGTTAAGATTTTCTGTGTAAGTGACATCAAGGCTTGGACTAAAATCCACACTACCAGTGAGATGAAGCAGTAAGCAAGGGGAAGAAGGCATGCTAAAACCTTGCCCTGCCTTCCCCAGGGGATCTGTGTGGGTTTTCAGTGGTTTCCCACTGCGGTAGCTTTGACTCAGTCTTGTCTCTGCCCTCGGGCCTCAGGTTCCATGAAGCTGGGGACAGCCAGCAGCTTCCCACCCGCGATGCCACAACCTTGAACGACTTCCGGGCAAGGTGCCATGCCTTGGATCTCTCCACAGTGCCTGAGCACGACTCCAAACAGCTCCCAGAGGGCTTCACCAACCTGCCTCCTCTCCCCCCGCCTCTGCCTCCTCCCCAGGACTACACAGGAGTGGTGAACATGGCTCTAGACTCTGTCGGGAAACCCGGGGCCCGAGCGCCCATGTACAGTCCCTATGGCACCGAGCAAGGCCTTGGCCAGTGGATGGTGCCTTCCCACAGCCAGTACAGGGCAATGAGCTACTCGGCCTTCTCCACAGAGTACAATACACAGGGGGCTCCTGGACATGCCCATGGGACCATGGCAGAGTGGAGCCAGTACCCTCTGTTCCCCTATGCCTGCTGGTGAACTGGGAGGACCCTTCCCAATGAAAAAACTGAAAGAAAACTGTAAATGAGATCAAATCTGCTCTGGGGTGTTGACCTTTTGAAGCCTTTCGTACACAAGGCAAAGAGGTATTGCTGCAAGCAGTAGCATGGGACACCTTCACTTCCTTATTGCCTTGCACAACAACCCTCGCTATGTTTCACAAGCAACAGCAAAACTGGTGACTGCCTGGCCATGGCACTGTGGGTCTGGCTGAATAAATGTGTTCTGCAATGTTGGGGTGTTTTTCAGCAGGAGTAGGAAACTGCAGGAGCTCCAGAGCAATACTTAAAGAGCTGATGAGCTCTCAGACCCAGCCTGTTTGCGTCTCACGTTTGGCTGTTTCCAAAAATCTCTTCCTCCCAGGACTTGCATGCAAGGAGATAGAGGCTGAAGAGTTTCAATAAACTGTCCAGGTGGCCAAAAAGCTGTAGAGAATTATTGCAGAGATGAACCAAGCAATCCTGGTGTCCCCTTGAGCAGTTTCCTCACTTAGTGTAGTCAAACTAAAGTTAGAGTCTTGCCTTTCTTCCAGCAGCATACAAGAGTAATGCACAGCAACACCTGTGTGTCTGGAGTGCAGGAGTGGCTCCTGCAGGCAGGGAAGAGTTTGTCCCGTTCAGGAGAAGCAGCAGCAAGGCTGTGTGTTGTGTCTGCATGTCCCCTGTGCCCTCTTCTGTCACCCCTAGATTCGAGGTTAGTGAAACACTTTTCTTTCTGCTGGTGGTGGAGGGAGGTTGTTCAGGGTGTGTGGGGCTGCTCTGGGGGGTTACAAAGGCCTGTGCTGGTCAGAAACAGGGCCACAAACAGCACTGCTGGCTGTGCCTCTCAATCTCTTCCTTTCAAGGGAAAGGAAATCTTTCACTATGACCTTTTCATCCTGCTTCCACCCCTTGCAGCCCCACGAGAATATAATTTATAGTTGTTGTTATTGTGCTACACTCTGAGCGAGCTTTGTCGACAGGCAGTTCTCACCAGCCTGGCATTGCTCATCAGGAATATACTTCAGTTAATACCCTGTAGGCACTGAGCTGTGTGCTGCACTGCTGGTCAGCAAAGTCATCTTTTGCTGTCTGGGGGTCTGTAGGGATCTGCTTCCAGGTTCAGTTATAAGAGGAGTTTCAGCTCCCTCACCTCTGTGGCCCCATCGTGGGGAGGAGCTGTTCTGCCACTGAGCAGCCTGTATGCTGCCTTGCAAAGAGGATTTCTTTTCATCATGTTAGAAGGGGGGAGCATCCCTCTTTGCCCAAGTGGCAGAATGGCCCTGGCAATGGGGTCTTGTATGAGACAGGCTCTTCCTCTTTGCTTCTCAGGGAGAACAGACACGTTCCTAGGTGTTATTTAGGGAATGTTTTCTTGTAACACTTTAAATAAACTGCTCTGTGGCCTGTAGCCATCAGTAGGCAATGAAGTGTGTCATTTATTGTGTATGCCAGATGGTTTTCCCTCTGTATGTGCAGCAAGATGTGGTCTATGAGCAGTCCTGCTTGGGTTTGTGGCCAGTGCATACACCAGGAATGGCTGCGTCTGTTTGGGTACCAGCTCGGCAGTGTGCATGTGCATAGGGTAGAGGTGTTGAGCCATGTTTATTATTGTTAAAATGACTTTGAAAAGTAGCCCTATAAATCTGTGAAACTCAACTACAATTGCTGCTTTGTTATTTAAATCATGCATCGATAACTGCTTTTGTAGCACAATTATGAGACATACAGATCAGCCAAATACTTCCCCTCAGCTTCACAGGATGTGAAGATGTGCAGCGTCTGAATAAAGGTCAGGCTTCACCACAGTCTATGCATGTAATACCCTATTAGCCTCTCCCCTGGCAGCCCCCTGGCCAGTAGTGATTTATACCTGCTGTGCATGACACGTGTGGGTACAAGCAACTGGCTGAAAAGAAATCTGGTTGGGGGAAAAAAAATGCAGAGGAGATTGTTTGTAACCCTAGGATATTGTGATTTGCTGCTGTGCAAATGCCTGAAGGCAGCTCAGCTGCAAAAGGCTGCGGGCAAGAAGAACATTCTGCCTTTGACCATTAGTAGTTCATTTTGCCACTACAGTTTTGCACATCTTGGAAACCAGATGAAAAGGTGGCTGGGGAGTTAGGTGCTTTGAGCCCTGTGTGCAGGGGTGGTGCTTTCTGCAAGGCAGTCCTGGTACCCTGCCGTGATTGCTGCAAGTGCCATGCTGACAAGAGAGTAATACATCCCCCTGGTAGATCTGTTCCTTTATCTTCAAAGTTGGATTGTATTTCCCTTTGTTGCAGGGTGCTAATGGGGGTGAAAACCACACTGTGGTAAGAGTAACTGAGGAGAACTGGGCAGCACAGAGAAACTCCTGTGCAAATATGAGTGTCATCTTCTTGTCAAACCTTCAGAGCAGCCTTGCGAGTGCTGCTGCCCATGGGCCTGTTGGTAGAGCTGGTTTGGCAAATGGCTCTGCACCCGGGGAAAAGGCTTATCCTTGCACCTAGGACAAGCTATTAATTATTCATCAGCCTTCTGTTGCAACAGGACTCCTTGCCCTTCCTCAGTGAATCATCTGGCTCATTAGAAAAGTACCTTTGCTTTCCTCGCTCGCCTGTCTCTGGTTAGAGACTGGGGCTTGGCTGCGTTGTGAAGCCTTTGGAAATCTCCCCCGTAGGTGTGTGCTCTGGACTCTGCTGCCGCCTCCTCTCTCTGCAGTTCCCACTGTCTTCTTGTCTTCAGCTGTGGCATTTAAAACTCTGCATGAGCTCGACTGAAACGCTGGTTTTGCACGCATGTGAGATAATGTAATGCCTCTGACAGCTCCAATAAAAGGAGATGAGACACGCGGAAGGCAGGCCATTAAGAGCAATAAAATAAACTCCAAAGTGTGTTTTCTGTGCATCTTTTTCCAGCACACCAGTGGCTCCCCTTTAGTCATGCTACCTGAGGCCAGTTTGTACATGCATGACATGCTGTTGATCTCAGTGGTCATTGTTCTCAGTGTATGCAGTGAGCCCCAGGTTATCTGCTTGCACGGCTAGATGTGACTCAGACTCTTGCACTAATCCTTTGCAGCAAATTGTTTATTTTCTCTGTGTTTTCTGCTCCTCTCCTGCAGAGGAGTTACATAAGGATGAGGGCAAATGAACTATAAATGGGATCTAGGTAAATTTCCTATGGGAAATGAAGATCCTGATTTATTTCTGTTTTTCCTACTGGTTTTTGCAGCCTTAAGCCTTGTCTGACACTGCTTTGGTGCAGATGGGAATGGCAGGAAAATGCTCTTTGCCATCGCTGCCGTTCTTCCACAGACAGCCGCATCCCAGAGAGCAGCTGCAGGCTCAGGAGAGCCACCTGTGATGCTGTTTCCCTGTGCTTAAAAGATATGGCAAATCCTCTTGGGGGTCAGGAGCCCTCTGGCCTGGCCCAGGTACAAGATCTCTGCTCTTGTACTCACCAGGTCACCCTCTGGTTCTGCTGGAGAAGCCACCAGCTGGTTTCAGTAAGAGTTATCTGTTTCCCAGGTGCTGGGATGTGCTCAGCTGGTGAAAGCCAGCCTCACTGCCTGGTGCCATCAGAGCAGTCTGGGAGGGAGCACCGCTCTCTGGCACCTTCTGCAGCGCCAGGTGTCAGCAGCAAGGGCTCATGTGTGTGGTGGGGGCAGGGTCTGCTTGTCCCCACGGGAGCTCAGTGGGGCCCTGGGAAGATGCTTGCCTGCAGAGAGGGGTGAGGATGTTCTGGAGAGCAGTGTTTCCAGGCCCAGGTGGGCTGGGGTACTTGAATTGCCTTGTAGCTGGACAGCCAGGCTGAGCTGGACTCTTGCTTCCTTTGGATTGACTTGACTGCCCAGCATGGGGGTGCCTGTTGTTTGGTCCTTGGTGAGCCTCCCAGGAGACTCCTGCAGTGCATTTCCTTGGCTAACATATGTACTGGGTCATCTTAAGCAAATCCAAACAAGCAGTGCAAACCCCCTTCCAGGAATAACAACATTCTTCAGGTCAAATGGGTTTTTATTGCAGAGCTTAAAAGCCACTTAATTCCCAAGCCCCAGGTTGGGATCCCATGCCGAGCCTCTTAGCAGGGGGGATGCAGCATTTGGCTGACAACAGCAAACAGCAGCCTCCTGCCATGTGGGGCTGGACCAGCACGAAGCCAAATACCTCCTGCCTGGGAGCTGCAGCAGCTGTCAGCCCCTCTCCTCGCTCATCAGTGGCCAAATGTGTGGGGTGCAGGTGGCTTCACTGACCTGCTCCCCCCAGCCTCTATTTGCTTGTAAACGACCAAGAGCAGAAAGGGGGTGAGACTGTGGGGCCAGCTGGGGTAGGGGGACAAAGGGTTTGCCCCAGAGTGTGGGGATGGGGGTGCTCTGTTGCACTTTCCCCCTGTGCCCTGGGTGATGCTGCCCAAAGCCCACGCAGAGGCTGGCTGGGCTCCTGCGGTGCACAGAGGCACTGTTGTGCTGCGGTGCGGGTTGGTTGTGGCTGTGCAGGGTGCGCCTGTTTCTGCCTGTTTCTCCAGGGCTCTTGGTTCCCCTGGCTGTGAGGAGCAGGTGTGCTGATGGCCTGTGCCCCGGCGGCTCCAGGTAAGGTGCTCTCACTGTCACGCTTTGCAGAGATGTGCAAGGGTTTATGTGTGGCTTCGAGACATCGCAGCAAACCTGAGCAAGAGGAGCCCAGGGAGGGCAACGCAGCTGCTTGCAGGCTCAGAGGATGGGGTGAAGAGAGTGGGGAAAGCACATCTCCTCTGCAGCCCTGCTCCTCCCAGCACACGGTGGGAGCTGCCCAGGCTCCAGGTCTCCAGACCTGCCCCAGTGTCAGACAACATTTTAACCAAGGCTGCAGCAATCCTTCAGTGCAGGGGTGAGGAGAGGAGCTGCAGCTGTGAGGAACAGGCTTGCTGCTCAGCTTGGGTTAGTGCTGTTCCTTTCTTGTTTTTCCAAGTCCTGTGCGTGTGGTTTATGGCATGAAGTGCTTTGCTGCGGGCGGCTGGGTTGCCTCTGGCACTTCTCTAATACTCCATTTGTTTCCTTTGGATGTGCAGGTGTACAACTACAGTGTTCCTGTCCAGACAGCGCCCTGCTCGGTGAGTGTAATGGATGGGTTTCATTTCCATCCCCTGCAGCTCTTTGGGGACATGCTGAGATTTTCATTTCTTCCTCTCCTGTTTTTATTGAAGATGGAAAATGTTGTGCCTCCACAAAGGCGAATGGGGGTAGGTGGCTCACGCTATGGGACAGGCACACCATGGGTCGTGCAGCCAGGCATAGAGCATTGCTCAGTTTTGGTACCTCTGCCTCTCATTGGACAGTAAGACTGTACATGTGAAGCACAGCAGCTGGCGTGTGGGCTCTCTCTGCATAATATCCTTGCTGGGAGATGGTGCATTAAGGGTAGATCTGTATGGAAATGGTGGTGCAGAGGGGATGAGTCAGGCCTGATTCCTGTCACACCATGGGGTCCATCCCCATTGCTGGCTCTGTTCATGCTGGACAGACAGCTCTCTGCTCACCCACAATCTGGTTTTGGCTCTGTTTTACCATCTAGAAGGGGCCCTGTGGAGACAGAGCTGTCCAGAGCAGCTTAGGCACTACCCAGCAGAACTCAGGTGAAGGGGAAGTGAGGGTTGCTGCAGACGAGGTAAGTGTAAATCTGCCCTCCTGCATCCTTCTGGCTATCCCCAGTCAGTGAACAACTGAGCAATGGAGGGGATGTGTTCAAAACTGCCCTGTTTACCAGGGCTATGCTGAGCACTGTGCTGGCACAGGGTGAATGACACCAATGAGCTCCCTGGAGAGCCCCTGTGGACACAAGGGCATTTTGAAAATCATGGCTGAGAAAGCCAGGCCAGGCCAGGAGTTTCTCAACTCCTCAGGCTGGGCTGGCAGTCCCATGTGGAGCCTGCTGCATGGTTCTCATCCCTCTCTTCATCCTGCCCGTATGTCTGTTAATGGCCCTGTCCTGCCTCCATCCTCAGGGACTAATTGCTTCACACTTGAGCAAATGTGCTTGGTGTTTAAAAAGAGTCTATCGATTTGTGCGTATTCCTGAAAGCCTCTCAGGGCCCCGCTTCCTTTGAAGTGTAAAAGCATCTGTCTGCCTCTGCTTCTCCAGCAGTCTCCTGCTCCATTTGCATCCCCTCTCAGGGGCAGTGGGGGGGAATCCAGCCCTGACCCCATGCAGTGCTCTGGTTTGAGGCTGCTGAGGGGGCTCCCTGCACGGGGGGACCAGACTTGGAGACAAAGGTGCAAAGCTTCAGTCTAGGCAGGGGGGTGAGCTTAGCATGCTCGGGATGGAGCCATTTCTGAAGGGCAGTTTCCAGTGCTCCAGACTTTGGGAGTGCTTTTGCTGCATGCTTATCTGTGGTGGCTGCATTGATTAGGAAGGAGAGGAAATAGCCCCTGGCTTCTTTTCACCATGGTACTTGGCCAGACAGCAGTGGTTGATAAGGAAGTAAGATCAGACCTGGGCTGCTTTGGCTAATCCACTGTCCAGGAGCTGAACTGCATGGGGTGCCCAGAACCGGGGATAATTCTC